ATATTTAAAAAAATAGTTTGCGCAAAAGACAACTTTAGGTCTAGTTAAGCATAAAATTAAGTTTGAAGTAAATAACTAATTAACTTGAGATGTAGTAGGATACAATTACTCACCTACACCTAATCTTCATTACTCACACCCTTTTATTTTACTGTACACCTAACTAAAACTACTTGGAAAATTATTAGTTACACTCTTATTTGATATACTTTTCAATACTTATTTGGTTTGATCATTAAAATATAATATAAGTATAAATAATTAAATTGATTTTTATATTTTATATGTATAATTGTATTTTTAAATTTATGTATTTTTAATTTTAAATTAACAATAATAATTTTTTTATAAATATATTATATAGTGTATTGAATTAGAAGGTTTATTAATCTTTGTCTAAACTACTCACTCTTCCTGCCGACACAAACACATGGAACTAGCTAGTTTACACCTTACACACGCTATTGCCTTATACCACCATTATTGGCTTGCAGATCGAGATCATCTTGAAAGGAAGCCATTTGCAGATGCCATGCTTAACGCTATTTACAAAGGGAAGTTTAGGGAAGTAAGCCACTTATTTAAAAGCAACCCAGATGCAATATCTACAACATTTGAAAATGGAAAAACTGCTCTTCACGTTGCAATTATTGCTGGTCAGCTAAGGGTTGCTAAGGAATTGATCACTATTACTGGTACTGAAGCAAACAGTCGCCAATTGAAGATAAAAGATGAGAGTGGCAACACAGCTCTTTCCTTTGCTGCTCGTAGTGGAATGATGGAAATTGCAAAATGCTTGATTGAAAAGAACAAGGACTTGCTTACTATGCCAGATGGCGACGATAAGCTCCCGGTTCAATTGGCTTGCAGGGCAGGCCATGAGGACATGACTCGCTACCTCTACTGCAATACCCCGAGAGAACGTCTAAGCGGAGTCAAGGGCTTCTACCTCCTCGAAGAGTGTATAACTAAGAAAATGTTTGGTGAGAGCTCTAACATTCATCTTCTCTCTTTATATAATTTTGCTATTTCGTTTTCCTCTGATAAATATACTTAATTTGACATGTATCAGATATTGCACTCCATCTCCTCCACCGCTTTCCAAAGTTTGCAATATATAAAATCTTTATGGAGGAAACCAATTCGATCATTTTAACTCTTGCTCAAACACAACCATCATTCTTTAGAGGAAATCAGCTATCATTTTGGAGACGATGGATATATAACTGTTAGTATCATTTATCTTTATCTCTTTAATTTTTAACATAATTTCTCTTTTAATATATTTTTCGGCTAAAAAATAGAGTATTTTGGGATGTTGTGCATGCCATCTTTCTTTGTTTTCCAATATGCTTTTCTGAAATTTTTAGTGTATTAAATGCTATTTTATTTTATTGCAATTGGAACTGAAGGTATAGGCGTGAAAGTAGATAAAGGAAGTGTTCTATCTGATGGTGTTGGCAGTGTTGCAGCTCAACGAGGAGGCACAGTAGTTATGAGTTTTTTTTCCTTTTTCTCACTAATAACTTCTGTAGAGATTGTTGGATAAAAAGAAAGACAATCATTTATTATACCAATGAAATAACTTTTTTTTTTAAAAAAAAATTATGAATATAACACATTAATGGCAGGGACTCTGGTTTCAATATCCGAATTTCTTGAAAAGCAATAATGTCCATCAAATGAGTCTTTTTTCTTTTTCCTTTTTTTTTTCTCGTTTTCCTAATTAGCTTTTGTTATTAATTCTTATTAGTAGAATTGAAGCAAAATATTTTATTTTCAACAGCAACGAAAATATATGATTTAAAGTTGATGGATGCAATTGCCAGTGAGATTATACATTTTATTTGTCGAAAATTATCAGCTTTGGATGAGGATGAATTTGTGCAAAGTGGAGCAGTGGAAGCAACCTTTCAAGCTATCAAGAATGGCATCCCTGACATTGCAATAGAAATTGCAAAAGTTAATACAAATATATTATGGAACCGTACTGATCCTGAAGATTCAAGGAACATGTTTGCATGTGCTATAGCACATCGTCAAGAGGAAGTGGCACAATTTCTTTATAAATTTAGTGCGAGAATTAGTACAAATATAGGTTTTACCGAGGATCAACGTGGAAACAATTTATTACATTTAGCAGCAAAGTTAGCTCCTCATTCTGACCTTGATCACATCTCAGGTGCAGCTCGGTTGCAAAGTGAGTTACGCTGGTTCAATGTAAGCATCTCATGCTTTTAAATGTTCTGTCAATTAATAAATTTTATATTTTGATGTCACGTGTGGCTCCATTAATTCTGA